TCCCTGCAGGAGGGAGGGGGAGGGCGGCCCGGGACGGCTCACCCAGTGGGTGCCCTGGCCTCTCTCCAAGGTGCACGAGGCTGCTGCACGCACGCAGTAAAGCCCTGGTGTCTGGTGCCAAGATGACAACCCTGGACTTTGCCCACTTTGGGTCTCAGTCAAGAATGACAACGCACACAATCGCTGCTGCTCTGGGGAAGGAGCTGCAGGAACAGAGAGATATGTAAAGCAGAGGGGCGAGGACCTGGGACCACAGGAGGGGCTGTGGAGGAGGGGCAGTAGAGGAGTGACACTGAATTACCCGCTTATTCACTCAGTAAACTGAGCATCCGCCGTGTTCCAGCTCTGAAGATAGGCAGCCAATAAAACAAAGCCCTCCTCTCGCCATTCCCGCGGAGACGATGGTGACTGAGCCAGAGAGACCCGGGGCACAGCGCTTTGGGAGAACACAGGCTTGGCGGCGGGCGGGGGAGGCGTCATTTAAGCTGAGATCTGAGTGGCAGCGTGGGAAGCTCAGGAGACCTCATATCAGGCAGACGGAGCAGCTGCAGAAAGTCCTGGGGGGAATGAACTTGGTATTGGGGGTTGGCGAAGCCGACTGCTGAGCCGGCGGTGTAGCGGACGGAAGAGGTGCAGGAGATGAGATGGAGAGGTAGGCCGTGCCCACCCTGTGCCAGGCCCAGCAGCTCGGGCACAGTGAACTTGGAGACCTTCTAGGAGTTCCATGTGGCAGAGGGAGGGGCCGCATTGTCAGCTGGTGGGCGGTGAGTCTTAGACTGAGAACCGGGAGGACAGTTACTCTCACTGCCACGCGAAGAACCCCACAAAGCCACAACTGCAGTCTCTCAGAGAGACCCTTCCATGTTGCTGCATCAAGAGAGGTTTCAATACCATGTCTTGTGTTTATTTTTAATATATTTTTATTGATTTCAGAGAGGGAGAGAGGGATAGAAACATCAATGATGAGAGAGAATCACTGATTGGCTGCCTCCTGCACACCCCACACTGGGACCAAGCCAGCAACCCAGGCATATGCCCTGACCAGGAATCGAACTGTGACCTTCTGGTTCATAGGTCGACGCTCAACCACTGGGCCACGCCAGCCCGGCTTATTTATGTTTCTTGTTCTTGAACCAAAGTCCTTGATATGCACATCCAATGAGAGGTCAGAGCTCATCTCACGTGTGTCCTCAGATTCAGGTTAATGTGAAATTTATTCTTGCAACATCTGAAGATACCACGATGGTAATGTCTGTTAGATGGAACGTTCGACTGCGTCAGTTGTGTTTTGTAGGGGGGACGGGATGAGGATTCACCTTCTTAGGCGGGAAGAGGCATCCCGTGATGTCAGGTTGGTAACAGACATGTGATTCTTATTTGGGAGAATTTTCTCAGTCCAGAAGGTGGACGCAGCCCGTTGCCTGCCTTATATCCATGGTCTCCCCTTCATTCTTGCCCACAGAACCTCAGACGTCATCATCCATGAGCCCAACCACAAACCCTTGCCTCCTGGATGACCCGTGGACGCCAGGCCACCTCGATGCAGACGAAGTCCCTAGGGAGGGTGTTCTTTCCGAGGAACCGGGCAAAGCCTGGGCGGGAGAAAGCCCTTTGCCCTGTCCCCACTTCTCCTCCCATTTCCAGTTATTTGGTGACTCTCTTGTTTGCTGGGAGTCTTCTAATTCCTTCAAATATGTTGCAAAACCACTATGTTGGTTTTGGATCATTGTCTTATGAGGTCTATGGCTAAATCTTTCTGTGTCTGTACTGACCTGGAGTTAAACCGTAGACATAATAGAGATACAGTTAAGCTGATTTTATGAAAAGGACCTCTCAGAGTTCATTCCACTGAAAGCAACATGTGTAATAGCGCTCCCTTTTCAGGGCCCAGAATAATCTAGTCAACAAGTATTTCTTAACATTCACTGAACGTATACTGTCTGTAATGACAAAGATAACCCTTTTCATGTGCTTTGAGGGATAGAGGTGATGAAAACAAGGTTCTTCTTCGCAGGGAGTTGACAATTTCATGAAATGACAGCTGTGTTGACAAACTGATGTAAAACCAGTGTGTACCTGATGAGGTGGCCATGGCTAGTTGCCCCAGAGAAGCCCCTAAGCGGCCATGAGTGGATGCGGATACAAGGACTGCACCCCAAATGCAGACAAAGCACAGCTTTCGAGGCTGGGAACCTGGACGATGCGGCTCAGAGAGTAGAGAGTAGCAAAATTGTTGCCTACGTTGTTTCTGGATGATAAAGAGCCTGGGTTATAAAATAGTTCTGTACTCCTTCAGCCCGGGGCCTTCTCCCTCGGTGTCAGCCAAGGCCACGGGCTCGCTCCCCAGCCTCTGAAGGGAGGGCCCGGGACACAGCGGGAGCCCTGCCCACCGGCCGGCACCCTTATCTGGTCGGCTCGCTCGGTGCGGTATACGTATACGTGCTGCTTCAGGGTTTGAACAGCCGTGTGGCCTGTGCAGATGCAGCAAGAGCTGTGAGAGTGCTGCAGGGAGGCTGAGGAGGCCAAGGAGGCCGAGGAGGAAGAGGCCATTCTGGTCGGAGGCTTCATGAAGGGGCGGCATTGGAGCTAGACCTCGAGAGACGGGTGGCCTTTTGCAAGGTGAGGATGGGAGTTAGGACATGGAGAACACGGGACAGCGTGAGGGGCCGCTCCGGGAGGGCAGCAGAGCTGTGCGCTGGGAACGAGAGCGTGCAGGTGGCTGAAGAACAGGCGGTGTCTGGGGAAGCAGTGAGAGATGGGGCTGGAGAGGAAGGCCAGGCCAGGCTCAGAGGATCGGCACTCAATATACTAGTGAACGGAGCCGGGGGGGGGGGGGGGGGGGGGGCGGAGGGTTCTTGAACAACTAGGAAAGCACGTGAATAAATAAATAAGTCTGGCAACTTCATCACCCATGAAACGGTGGTGGCATAACTGGGAGATCCCTTACAATGTCCAGGCATGAATTGAGGGCACGTGTTGTTGAAGGCTAGGACTCGAAGAGTTTTATTATTCCTGGAGGGAGGGTGGTGCCCAACGGAGAAGGAAACCACATACGAAGGTGGGATTTTGAACTTGGACTCGTGGGAGAATAGCAGGAGTGTGAACACCCAGAGGGAAGGCAGGAAGGGGGTTGAGGGGCATGGGGACCTTTGGGTGCAAATGTGCTCCAGGCAGCCAGGAAGAAAAGGAGGAACTCAGGAGAGAGGGGAGAGGTGAGTCAGCCAGTGTGGCTTGTCAAGCCTGGGAGCACGAATGGAACAACAGGTCCTAAATACATGACAAATGCACCAAGGAAGGCACAGCTAGGATCACCTTGGGGGGAAAACAAAACAAAACAAAACACTGCGATTAGTGCTATTTATAGCTCGTGTCTGTTTTACCAGCTGTGATGTTCCCAGAAACTAACCCTGAACCTGACCGCCTACCTGGCAGGTGAGACATGTGATCCCTGAACCGCCAGATCTTTCCAGTCTAGAATAAGAGAAGGACATGAGCTGCTAGACTCATCTGGTTAAGCTCACCTTTCTGTGGCACACAGCCCCGAACCAGAGTTCAGCTATAGCTACTGGCGATCGCTAAGCTAATTCAACAGCTACAGCCACGGAAACGTTGCCACGGCCGCGGAGGAGAATTGGGGAGAAAGGTAAAAGCGGAGGAGAACGCCAGCGGCTGGAGGAAGGGCCACCGATGGCGTAGTTGCCACTGGGCGGCGGGCTGTCGTCATCACGCGTACCCGCCCCATTGCTCACCACCCTCCGCCACTGCAGGTCCATTCCCCGCCGCCCCGGAAGCAGGGGCGGAGCCGCCAGGAGGGGGCAAAGGCGCTGGAAAGGCCCTTGGGAGGAGCCGGGAGAGGACGTCCCCCGGGCGTACTACATCTCCCAGAGTCCACTGCGGCAACAAGACTGGCTCCTGGGGCGCCGATGGGACACTGGCGGCATGGGATTGGTAGTCCGCGTCCAGCGGCCGCGCCGGTGGGGAGAGGCACGGGGATTGGCTAGCGAGAGTCCTAACCCCACCCACATGCGGTGACAGGCGGCCGTCCTGCTACTTAAGGCGTCGTGGCCGCGTCCGCCCCGCCTTAGCTCCCGCGCTAGAGAGAAACATGTATCGTTTCCGATCACAGCTCTTCACCGGGATTTCTGCAGCCGCCAGCGCCCGCTCTCACCCACGCCGCTCCTCGCCTCTGTTAGCCGAAGCCTCGCCGCTCAGCCGCCCGCCGCACAGACGCACGAGTAAAAAGTGCAGCTCCATCGGCTGATCCTCGCTGAGCTCCGAGTCTGCGCGGCACCGGGCGTCCCAGGATGCCGAAGAATAAGAAGCGGAACACAGCCCACCGCGGCGGCGGTGGTGGCGGCGGCTCAGGGGCAGCTGCAGCGACGGAGACGACGGCAGGTGAGGGGGTCTCGCAGCCGCCGGTGTCCCGGTTGCCGGCCGGGCTGGCGCGTCTTTTCGCCGGGGACACGCTGGGAGTCGTAGTTCTTTCTTTCTCGAGCTGTGCATCGGCCTGACGCCTGGCAGGGCTAGCGAACTACAACTCCCAGCGTGCCCCGGGGACCGCACCTCGCGCGATTTGGAGCTGGCGTGCGCTCCGAACTCTTGGGCACTGGCGGTGGGGGCGGGGAGGGGGGGGCAATGGGTCCTTGGGCCCGGGAGCGGGCTGGGATCGGGGTGACTGGGCACTGAGCGAGGGTGGAAGTGTCCTCGGAGGCCAGTGCCTGCTCAGCGCGCCCCCTCCCCGGGGTGGGGCAGAGCCGGGGGTGCGCCCCTGCTGTCACGGGTCGCCTTTGGCCGCCTGCGCCGACGTGGACCTGCTGGGAATGCCAAACGTCTGCCGGGTCTGGACGGGCCCTTGGGTCACGCGGCCCGGCCTCGGGCGCTGGAGCCGGGGTGACGCAGAGGCGCCCATGTGCCTCCCCTCCCGCTCCCTTCTCGCGCCTCCCGCGTGCGTACCTGGCCAGGCGGGGGCAGGGGCGCCTGGGGGTGGGGGGGTGGGTCACTGTCCCAGCCCGGGTTTGCCCCGACCCCGAAGTGCCACCTGCAGAAACCTCCCCTCCCCCGCCGCGCCGCACCGCGACCCGGGGAGGCGATCTGCCCGCCCCGGGGCAGAGCCGCGTTCTCCTTTGTCCTGGAGGTTCTCTGCTCCGAGCCCAGACGGGAGGTGCGCGAGCTCGGGTTGCACTTGGCCAAAAGTTTAGTTTGTGGTGTGTCCCCGCTGCACAGCGGCAGCTTTTCCAGGGTGGGTGGCTGCCTAACTGGACTTTTGATTCCCTGCGGCCAGTTACACAGTTAAAACAAAAGGGCTTCAAGCAGAAAGCCCCTCCTCGACACCACACTAAGCGCAAAGCTCACGGCGCAAGCCGTCTCGTGTGGTTCTTGTTTGAAGGCTTGAAGTACGGAATACCCTCAGACTGTCGCTGGGGGAGGCTTGTGGTCCTTAGAAATTTGTCAACATAGTTGCCACTCTGGTCCTCAGAATGATGCTTTTCATCAGTGCGTTTTCTCGTTGGGGGTGATTGGAACCGGTTTTGAAAGGCTTTCCCGGAGGGTTTCTAGCACGAAAGCTGGTGATCGTGGCAGGACATTGAATAGTTGACACTCGGAAGGGGTTACTATGAATGCAGTCGCCCCTTTCTCTCGCTCTTCATTTGGTTTGGATGCTCTTGATGTTCCTCAAGTTCATTCTTGATCACCAAAGTAAAATACAAGACGAGTTGGTGGCATCTGGTTGCTTCCTGTGAACGGAGGATCCCTCTGAACCTTTTGTGGTTCAGCTTTTCCTCTGAAGGAAACATTTTCCTTCCGTCTTGAAGGTCCTTATTTTATTTAAGTTTGCCTTTTGTTGATGACCCAAATCATGGGGAAGCGGCAAGCTGAAGCCATTGGGATCCGGTGGGGTTAATGGCCTGGAACCATCACCAACCCTGTCTTCCCGTCTGGGGCTTCCTGTGGGACCTCCTTCCTTCCTGGCACCTAGTGGAATGGCCAGTCTTCCTGCTGCTGCCTTTTCGATGACTCCCCGTGGGAAGGGTGCCTAAACTTAGCACGGTGAGCTGGGAAAGACTGGTCAGTCTGTAAGGCTGCTTGCTTTGAATATCTGCGACCTGACACGGCCTCTGCAGAGAGGGTTGTGAGGTGAGATTGGCTTTTTAAAAATTTTAATTTGGTTCCATGTTAATGTACTTCTTATTTAGTAAATAAGTGAATAAATAATAGTTAATAGACGAGAAGGGAAATTGTCAGACAGTTGTACTTACAAACCACTTACTTGGTTGGTCTTTTTAAATGGCATCTAGAAGAAATGGGGTTCATTTGAGATCTTTACATGTACAGTCAAGATAACTCGGTGGTTGAGTGTCAACCTATGAACCCGGAGGTCACAGTTCATTTCATGCCAGGGCACATGCCCAGGTTACAGGCTCAGTCCCAAATAAGGGCGGTACAGGAAGCAGCCGACCAGTGATTCTCTGTCATCATTATCTCTCCCTCTCCCTTCCTCTCTGAGATCAATAAAAATACATTTTTTAAAAAGATAACCAACTTCTTTTACTTTCATGGATTTTCCAAAGTTAGTGGAGGGCTGTAGGAAGGTTATAAAATTGATCTATTATACAGGTGTGCATACTTGTGATAGCACTTACTTTGAAGAGGGTGTTTTTTAGGGGAAAACAACACCTTGTTAGTGAGTAAGCTCCCTTAGAAGGAAGGCCCTTGCGTCTATAGTTGCACCTCATTAATGGCACTTAGGGTCACAAGGTGGGTGAGTCTGACATAGATGTTAGGCATTCATATAAGGTTCTTTTCCTTGATTTTTAAAAAAAATCTCTATTCCCTTTAAGTCATGGGAAACTTAGAGACAGGAGCTCAGTAAATCCTGCCTAGGAATAGTCTTCTTGACAGATAAGAAATAGGCTGAATATGAAAATTGTAAATTGGTGAATAAATGTTAGTAAAAGTTAAGCAGATGACTCAGCTGTTGCCATGACTTCACATCCTGGAAACAAATGAAGATCCAGAAATAGAGAGTGATGTCATAGGTCTTTGTTTATTTGTTTATTCTTGCCCTAAGCACTCTAAGAAGTTTTGGGGTCTTGGCTGCATTGCTTATTTTTTATGACTTACTGTTTTGATTGGCAGTTTATTCCCTTTAGGGTAGCAGCACATTGGAAGGCGGCTTCCTCTGCTGATAGAAAAATCTGCTAAGTTCTCTGTTTTGATTTTTACAAAAAGAAAAACACCATTAAAAATAACCCAACAACAAGCGAAGTACGTGTAGAGGATTTCTTTAAAACTTACCTTAGGGTAGTCAGTGTCACATGTTTTTTGGCAATCTGATAAGGAAAAGGGCTCAGGTAAATCAGGTGACTTGAGGCCACTTTGGGGCAGAATTTGGGAGCTATTTGAGCTCATTGTAATTCATGACTGGGCAATCCTGTTATTAATATGAAATTCCCACAAAACACAATGACTAGGAATATGGATTTATTACTTAGGTTAATGAAGTTGACAGATTCTAGTTTAAAAAAGGAGATTTTTCATTTTTAGTAACACCACTGATCTTTTTAAATCGTTGCTTATGTTAGAACCTTTCTTTTACAGGTAATTTATCTAACAGGCTATATCAAATACCAAAACATTAGCAGCAACCCCACCGGATCCCAGAGGGAAAAAAGGCTTAAAATGGAAGTTTTGGTATTTGATATATCATCTATAAAACTTATCATCTATAAAACTACCATCCTGTAACTCCTTAAATTCCTTCACTTAGGACATGTGTATCCAAAAAAACCCATTCACCAGTTACTGTTTCCCAAGTCATACTTGTTGGAAAATATGTTTGTCTTGGTCTTATGATGACCTGTGACATCATAGTTTATTTCTGGATCTATTTCCATTGTCTTCCTGATTTGAGGTTGTGGTTAGGAAGTAGTTTTTTCATCTGTAATCTGGAGCTGCTGGTCAGATGATTGATGTATTTCTGAAGTTGATGGATATTGTAAATTGTTCATGCTCGGAAGTACATATTAGGTGAATTGACTTATTTTAGAAATATTTGTGTCTTCTTTTATAACATAATCATGTTTTCTTAAATAAGTTTTGGGTTTTTTTGTTGTTGTTTTTTAAATATGTTTCATTGATTTTTTACAGAGAGGAAGGGAGAGGGAGAGTTAGAAACACCGATGAGAGAGAAACATCAATCAGCTGCCTCCTGCACACCCCCTTACTGGGGATGTGCCCGCAACCAAGGTACATGCCCTTGACCGGAATCGAACCTGGGACCCTTGAGTCCTCAAGCCGACGCTCTATCCGCTGAGCCAAACCGGTTAGGGCAGTTTTGGGTTTTTATGACTGGATTCCCCTTAAGTAACTACTAAGATTCTCAAGTTAAATATTTGCATCGATGGCTGCAAAGTTTCTTACCTCCACCTCTGTTGACTTCCCAGGTGGCCAGCATCGAAATATTCAACCTTTCAGTGACGAGGATGCATCGATTGAAACCATGAGCCACTGCAGTGGTTACAGCGATCCTTCCAGTTTTGCTGAAGACGGTATGCCTTTTACATTCCGTTGGCAGTTTAAACCGATGCTTTTGGTGGGGAGTTCTTGTGCCCAAGGTGTCCTAGCACTGCCCCCAGCTGCTCTCCTGCCACTTGACTGACAGCGGCTGGTTGGTCCCTGTTGTTCCCTAGGACCAGAAGTTCTGGATGAGGAAGGGACGCAAGAAGACTTGGAGTACAAGCTGAAGGGCTTCATTGACCTGACCCTGGATAAGAGGTAGGGCGCACTGGAGACTTTCCCCATGGGCTGTTCGTCAGCTCCCTCTGTGCCCCGTGGGCAGGCCTCTGACTTAACAATGCGGTCTGTGTGATTTTAAGCTTGATTTGTTTGCTTTGGACGTCTAAATGATTCTTGTTTCTTTGGACTTTGGATGTGGGTAGAAACGTGCCTTAGAATTTAGATTGACTCCGATTAGTGGATGTTCTAGCACAGCGGTTCTCAGCCTGTGGGTCGCGACCCCTTTGGGAGTCGAACGACCCTTTCACAGGGATCGCCTAAGACCATCGGAAAACACATATATAATCACATATTGTTTTTGTGATTAATCACTATGCTTAATTATGTTCAATTTGTAACAATGAAAATACATCCTGCATACCAGATATTTACATGACGATTCATAACTAGCAAAATTACAGTTATGAAGTAGCAACGAAAGTAATTTTATGGTTGGGGGTCACCTCAACATGAGGAACTGTATTAAAGGGTCGCGGCATTAGGAAGGTTGAGAACCACTGCTCTAGCATAATTCCCGTCACTGACTGCAGCCTGGATGGATGTGTTGAATTAAGAGTTAATGTTCTATAAAGGACAGCTGGACTTTCCTGTAAGCCTCTTGGTCACAGTTTTGTTAGGGTCATGAAAAATATGAAGCTAGTCATTTTCCTACTTCCCATGGCTCTAGAACTCGCTTAAAACCAACGGAATTAAAAGCCCAGGGGATGGGACAGGAACTCGAGGCTTTTGCAGTGTTAAGTAAGATGTGCGTTTACTTTAAATGTGGAGGGTATTCGTGGAATATGTAATACAGCAGAGCATGTCCTGCCCATTGAAATTATAAAATGCCATGCGGTCATTTAAAGTTGTGGTTTTAAACTATAAACAGGAAAATGCTGTGATCTAGAGCAGCTTAGAATCTTTTGTGTAATAAGGTGAGTGTAGATGAAAAGTATGTTATTAAAAAATGTTTAGCGCTGATGACAATTAGATTTTTAAAATCTATAAATAAAAAACACAGGAGGGGAGACAAGCTCAGTTTGACAGTCACTGACGGCACTTGTTCCCAACAGCGCCAAGACCAGGCAGGCGGCCCTCGAGGGCCTGCGGAGCGCCCTGGCTTCCAAGCTGCTCTCCGAGTTCCTCCTGGAAAGAAGGATGACTCTGACCGACAGCATCGAGCGCTGCCTGAAGAAAGGTACTGTCCTGGCGTCGGGGCGCCGGCCGGGCTCCCTGTCTGCCACGGCCCTGGAGACGGCCTGCCCTGCAGCTCCCGCTGTCAGGAACGCACGCTATCAGCTCGAATCCAGACTCCCTAAGCTCCGTGTTGTCTGTGTGATAACAGCCTGGGGTCGTCGTCTTGTCGTGTCAGACCAGGGGTGCTGCTGTCATGGGTAGCAGAAAGGCTGGGAACAGGGTCAGATGTCAACTAAAGCTAGCGTTAAAAAAGTCATTTTTTTATTTTCCTAAAATTGAAAAAGGACCATAATTTTCTAGCTTATTTCCCTTGTACTTATTTAAAACAGCCGTGCCTGTGGCTGATGTCCTTTTCAGGTTACCCCTTGGGATATTTGAGTTTTGGACTTTATAATAGAGATTCTAGAATTCATATTGTCATAATCATGGGACCTTTAAGAATAAAGAAAGACCTTAAAGAGTACGTCTGGCATTACCAGACTTTTCAGTTTTAGGAACCACCAAAATTGACAAGATGTGGGGCTGCCACCTTACTCATTTTGCCAAGTGAAAACGTTACGAAGATCATTACCTTCCATTATTATGACTTGATTAACAAAATATTTCCAGCACAAACCATGTGGGAAGCACACGTGTTCCTCTGAACTGAATGAGATGCGCTCCATTCCTTATTCTCACTGCCTCAGGGGGAGCTTGGTCCTGCTGGGGTTGGAGCGCTTTGCCTAACTTGCTCATGCAGCATAGAGAAGGCCCGGGCGGAGACTGTCGAAGCCCATGGAACTTTGTTAGAGCTGTCCTTATAGAGCCAACTGTTTCGGATGCTACAGTGTCTTTGTTAAAGGTGTTTCCATGGAAACTGTCTCCTATGAGGTAGCTGGGCTAGGTGACCTTTAGCAATTCCATTCCAACCTGCACATTTTACCCATTTTCAGTTTACCAGGTAATAACCTACACCTTTATAGAATGTATTTCTGTGGCTGAAAGAGCTTCGGTTTTCATCCCACTGGGGCCCCTGCAAGTTTCCTTGGCCCCGTGAGCTGGTGCCCCTGCCATGCTCGGGAGAGGAAGTCGGGGCTGGTGCCCTCGCCTGGGGGTGCAGGGAGGGTTTGGAAGGTCACCCGGCTGGAGGGTCCTAATTGTCTGAACTGTGACAGCACTCCCGCAGGTCGGCGTCCCCTGCAGGTCACAGAGGAGGGGTCTGCCCGCGGAAGAGGGATGAGGTGGTGATCGTGGCTAAGCAGTGGGTCTAGGATTCGAGCAGAGTCTGTGTCCAGAGCTGAGCTCTGGCTTCACACGGGGTTACCACTCGTGTCAGAGCCTGTCTGGATGGAGCGCGACCTGAGTGCCACGGGCCCACGGCGGGATGTATTTGGAAGTCGCTGCTTTCATACATTGGTGCTTGGGAGCGCTCATCGCCCTTGTCTCCTGGCTCCCCGCAGGGAAGAGCGACGAGCAGCGCGCAGCCGCAGCCCTGGCGTCTGTCCTCTGCGTTCAGCTGGGCCCCGGGATCGAAAGTGAAGAGGTTTTGAAGACCCTGGGACCGGTCCTGAAGAAAATCATTTGCGACGGAACAGCTAGCATCCAGGCGAGGCAAACAGTGAGTCTGAGGGATGTGCACGTGTTGGTTTGGGCGAGACCTGGGAGACCAGCCTCCCTGACCCCGGGACAGCAGGAGGGAGTCTAGTGACAGCCCGGAGGAAAGGGAGGAAGGAGTCTCACTGCCTGGTGGGGCTTCCCTTTCCTCCACCCAAAGGCAGTACAGGGTTCCCAGCCTCTTTTCAGCACGTTCCAAAGTAAGAAAAATCTGAGCTACTGAAATGCTTCTTTAGGGGAGAAGTTGGAGGATGATTACTTAAGTTTTATGAGATTTCTGCTGCTGGTTGCTTATTTTTTTGAAAGTTGATTTATTTTTTAGAAGTTTTCAAAGTAAACTCTACATTAAAACAAATGCATATAAATGATTTTAAAAACCTATAGCAAACTTAATGATTTAAAGCCGTGGTTCTCAACCTTCTGGCCCTTTAAATACAGTTCCTCGTTGTGACCCAACCATAAAATTATTTTCGTTGCTACGTCATAACTGTAATGTTGCTACTGTTATGAATCGTCATGTAAATATCTGATATGCAGGATGGTCTTAGGCGACCCCTGTGAAAGGGTCATTCGACCGCCAAAGGGTTGAGAACCGCTGATTTAAAGGTTTTTAATAGAGGTAGTGGATGTGGTGAAGAAAGGGGAAAGTTGCAGTGATGCCCAGGGGCCATGACAAAGGGATGCAGGCAACTCTCGGAGCTAGAAAAGCCAGGAAACAGGTTCTCCCCTAGCACCTCCAGAAGGAACGCAGCCCTGCCCACACCTTGATTTTAGAAAATCCAATTTCAGACCGCGGCCTTCCAGATCTATAAGAATAAATTTGTGTTGCTGAAGCCACTAAGTTTCTTATGGCAGCTATAGAAAACATACAGGTAGCTTTAAAAAATAACAATAAATTAAAGGTTTTGAATAGGGAAAGTAGTTTTCTTTATCCCAAATGCCAAGCCTCGTGTGTCTTTGATTGGAATTGAAGTTTGCAAAGATCCGCTAGGGGAACGAAAGCGGTGACTGAGTTCCTGACGTCAGAGCTCGGTAGCAGAGCTTGAGCCAAACCCAGCCCTTCCCTTAGTCTTGGTCCTGCCGTCTCCTCCCTAACACTGTGTTGGGCCCTGATGTAGGCGTGCAGTTGAGAAAATGCTCACATTGAATTATAACAGCAGGAAGATGTAGAATTAATACAACATGGCAGCCATTCATGTCTGTGTGTGTGTGTGTGTGTGTGTGTATTTATTTTTTTTTATTTTTATTTTTTTAGTGTGCCACGTGCTTTGGCGTTTGCTGTTTCGTTGCCACAGACGACATCACTGTGAGTAGAGAGCCTTTGGCTGCAGCTCCCTTCCCGTTTCTCATTTGAGAGGCTCACCGGCTCTGTTCTCGCGCTAGGAGCTGTACGCGGCCCTGGACTGCCTGGAGAGCCTCTTCTCCAAGGCCGGCCTCAAGGAGAAGGACGCCCTGGTCCTCGGCAGCGGCCCCAGCAGCGGGCTCCCCGTCAGCGCGCTCCTGGCGTGGGCGCTGCTGCTCACCATCTGCCCCGCCAGCGAGCTGAAGAAGAGGCTGGAGACGTACGTGTCATTGGCCTCAGGTTTTATAAGCGCCTTTATCGAGGACATCGTTTGTGTTCACAGTGTGACGACTGCCTGTTTTCTAGGCATTTCCATAAGCTCCCGAGCCTCCTGTCTTCGGACGACGTGAACATGAGGATCGCGGCCGGGGAGACCTTGGCGCTGCTGTTGGAACTGGCCCGGGGCATGGAGAGCGTGAGTACCCGGCGAGCACCCTCCTGGGCCAGTTTTGGGGGACCGGAGCCCGGCCCCAGGGAGCCCTGGTGGCCTATCACCTGCGTCTCGGCAGCGGCCATGGGATGCCTGCAACCCAGAAACCAGAGGGTGGGCAGGGCAGCTTCGGGATGAAGTCCCTTACACCTCGCTGTGCGGTCTGCTGCCGGAGGCTCGGGTGCCCCTCCTACGTGGGGAGCACGCGTCTGCACTCGGGGCTGCGGGCACATCGCGGTGCTGCGGGCATGGCGCTTCATCATGAATGTTAGACAGATGGTGGATGATCTGTTAAGTCAGCACAGGTTTGGGATCAGGTGGGTTCCGTCACTGCTGTTTGACTAACGGTGCAGACCTGGCCCTTTAGACGGGCCCCCCATCGTCTCGTGGGTGTCACCACCACGGTCGGCTCCGGGGGCGGGGGGTTGGATCTGACAGGCACCCACCGTCCTGGAGTGTCCCGGGTCCGCACTCAGAGTCCTGTGCTCTTGGACACCGTCTCCGGCTGACGGGACAGTTGGCCATCCTGCTCCTGACCTTGGTGTGGATCTTGGGTTACTTACGAGGTCTTTAATTTAAGGAGAAAGACTGTTTCAAGAATGAAACTTGTGTGGTTGAGTTACTAGCAGTGAGTAACCCACTGAGACTCGCACTGCTCTGGCGGCCCTCGTCCTGCACCTCCCGTCGGCCTGTGTGAAAGATGTTCAGATGGGAAGCTTATGTCTGGGAAGTGCCCTTCCTGCCCCCCCCCCCCCCTTTTTCTGAAGGAGAGCAGGTGGGAGGGAGAAGGCGGGGTTGTGCTGTCAGTGGCTCAGGATTCTCCGTGAGAAACCACTCGGGTTGAGTGATCAGGCTGCTGTTGCCCAGCGAGTGAACGGCTCCCTAACCGCAGGCCCAGCCACCGCCGTCGCGTCTAACCTTGGTTCCTCTCCTGCCAGACGAGCTCCCCTCTTCCCTCTCCAACTGCTTCTTAGAGTGAACGAACCACGAATGCAGTTACCCGCATTGAGCTGGTTTGTGGAGCTCTGTGCACATCCTAGGTCCCTGCCCAGTGAACGTGCGGGAGCCCGAGGGTTTCATCGGCCGCAGGCCCTTGTCCAGACACAAGTGCACCGGCTTCTGCATAGAACCGAGCGTTTCGTTTGTTCCTTCTGATGAGGAAGTGAACAAGCTTTCCGAAAGGAGTGAGCGGTGGAGGTGGGGGTTGGAGGGTGTCCGTGGGCTGACCAGGAGCTGGTGAAGAGTGTGATATTCATGAGGGGCCTCCGCAGCGTGTGGCGCTGAGTCACCCAGAGCCAACTGTGGACAGAGGTGAAACGGGCCCAGCAGTGATGACCGCCTGGGAGCCGAGAGACTGGCCTTGGGGGTGCGAGTGCTGAGACCCCCTGCTGGGTCCCTAGTTCTTAGGACAAACTAAGGGATGCGTAGCTTTCTTACTTGCAGCTTTATTCTTCCACGTGTATTTAAAATCTTTCATACATTCTCTTTTTTTGACAATACTATAAAAAAACGTAGTTGGTGACATACGCAGGAAACTGCTGGTGCCTGAATGTACTTACTACTGCAAGCAAGACTGTTCCCATCTTGTTAAGATGGAGTCGGATTTATTGGGATTTAAAACAGATCAATATAACTTTGATCTGCTTTACTACCTCATCCGCTTTGGTAATTGCTGTTCTAGATACGAGTCTTAATGGGTGTTGTCCCCAGCTAACTCAGACATCGGAGGCTGCAGTGGAACATTTGAAGAAGACATTTGTTAGAACAGTGGATGATATTCAATCTCTGAAATATCGACAAGAAGAAAATACGTGCTTGCAAGTTAGAATGTCTGTTATTTTAGTTTCAACCTCATTTTCCAGCAGTGTAATATTCTTTTTCATTCCAGATATTAAATCACATTCATACTTTCAAGATTAAACAATTATATACACAGTTTGAAGAATGCCCAGAAAGAGAGCTGCTCATTTGAATAGGATGTTAAATGATTATTGCCGCGCGTTAGGAAATGCTAACCAGGCGTTCATAGCAGAACTGGGGTTGCGCACCTTCTCTTCCCTAAGTGTCTGCTCTCGTTTGGGTCAACTAGATCATTTCTGTTCATCTTTTAGTTTTTAACGTGGTTGTAAGGTAGAACTAGGAGATAAACACGGGCGGCAGAGGAGGAGAGATGGGGACGCGTGTGATAGGATCAGCAGTAAGAGCCACCACCCGGAATAAGAGCTTCATGGAGGGCAGCCACTGGCACTGTCGCAGGGCCCCGTGGGCTCTGGAGCACCTCGTGGTCGTGCGGGGCTCCTGCCGAGTGGGATTGAAACGCCTTCCCTTCGCGGGTGTGGTCGCCTGGATGCATGTGGGTAGACGCTTCGTGCCTGTTGGAAACATTCCGGTGCGTCATACACCAGGCGCTTTGGAAGGCTCCCCGGGCTGCTGAGCTTGGGATGGACCTGTGGACGCCTGGGAATGTGGGGACGAGAAAGGACAGGATGAACAGATGCGCGTGCGCCTGACTCCGCCGGCCCTGAGCCCAGCTCCGTCTGCGGCAGCAGGAGCAGCCTTTCCGGGGCGCCTGGCTGTGCTTGGGAGGGGATTTTAGTTGATGAGTGGGATCTGCCATCTTGTGGCCAGGATTTCTGGGTAAATCCTGCATGAGAATGAGTGTTTCTGTGTGCCTGTATCAGCAAAGCAGCGCGAGGTTTGTGTTTTGGGCGGCACTGCTGGGCGTCTGCCACGTGGGCTGCCAGCTGCAGAGGATGCGGGGGAGGAACCGGTCGCACTCACCCAGTGTGTTCCCACAGGACTTCCTTTACGAGGACATGGAGTCTCTGACCGAGATGCTGAGGGCCCTGGCGACCGACGGCAATAAGCACCGGGCCAAAGTGGACAAGCGGAAGCAGCGGTCTGTGTTCAGGGACGTGCTGCGGGCCGTGGAGGTGAGCCGGGCGCCAGCAGAGTTCCGGCCAGAGGGGCGGTGGGTCACTGAACCTCACCTGTGACCACAAAACAATTCTCTCATTTCGATACTGAGCGCGTTTTCAACAACAGAAATGAAGACTTCTATTTTTCTTTCTTTTTAAAAATATATTTTCATTGATTTCAGAGAGGAAGGGGGAGAGAGAGAGAGAAACATCCATGATGAGAGAGAATCATGGATCAGCTGCCTTCTGCACGCCCCCCCACTGGGGGTCGAGCCTGCAACCTGGGCCTGCGCTGTGACCGGGAATCAAACCGCAACCCCCTGGTTCATAGGTCGGTGCTCAACCCCTAAGCAACACTGGCCAGGCAAGACTTCTACTTTTAATTCTGATGTGTAAAGGTATTTTATTAAGTTTAAGCAGTTAAACATTTTTGCAGTGATAGAAATTACTTCACTGGGGTGTACTTGGCCGTGACTTAAGCAGCAGTACTTAGCACAGACATACTTAGGGTAGTGCTTCTGTGTGAAGGGTGACTTATCGCCTGCCCCTCAGGAGCTTGAAGCCCCTAAAAGCTGAAATAACAAAGTCCAGCGTTTTAACAAGACCTTAAAGCTGTTGTCCGATGCTCCGGGCCCTGCTCTGGCCTCTGCCGTCTGCCAGCAGGCAGGTGGCTTTGGAAAGGTCGGGGTTGGAATGACTGAGGAAGGTGCGCTGTCGGCGAAAGGCCGTCTTAGTGTGGACCACAGTCCAGTGACGTGTATGTGCGCGCATGTGTGTGTGCGTGTGCCCGTGTGCGTGCGTGTGCAGGTAAAAGTACGTCTTGGCTATGCAGGTGGTTCTTCACTAAGTGCATCGCCAGAGTCATTCACCCGACCTCCTGTGGGACTAGAATGGGAGCTGGCACAGGTGCTCAGGCCCGGTGTGGTGGTTCCCGGCTCACGCAGGCTGCTTTCCTCGCTGCAGCCTGTGCTCTAGCAGTAAAACCTCGGCTGCAAGTGACATAGAGCTCCTCGAGGACGCGGTGGGAGGTCCGGCCCGGGGGCCCTCCAAGGCCTGTGAAACCATTGGGTCTGGCCCTGCCGAGGCCACCGCAGGCGGGACTGCCAAGTCAGTAAATCCAGGAGCTTGTCCTAGCAGCACACGTTCATATGGAGTGAATTGTGGGAAGTGAATGGTGTGATACGTACCCACGTGGCCCTTGGCAGAAAGGAGGTTCCCCACCCCGACCCTAGGATCTAAATTTGGGGTTAATGAAACTTCCTCTGGGTTTTATCATCTAAAACAAGGCTCACTTGAGCAGACATCCAGCTGAGGACTCATCTTGTTCTCATCAGGGTGGTGGTAGCCCCGAGTATCAAGACTACTCCCCTATCTGAGTGTGTAGCCACAGGGCAGCCACAGGCTCCGGATGTGGGAAGAGTGTATATCCCTCAATATCTGTAACTCTAGAACGAGATGCCCTGCAGTTTCTGCCCATACAGATAGTTGACTTTCTTCAGGTTGGTTGGGTGGCGTTGAAATTGAAAAAAACGCACAACAGTGTGGCTGCCATTACAGGTCGCCCACACTGAGCGGTGCCTGCAGGTCTGCCACCCAGAGAAACCCTGCCTCAGGCGGGGCAGGGGGTGGGCAGTGCGTCTGCGTCCGCACACGTCTCAGGGACGGGTCTCAGTCCAGCCACACCTTCACGGATCTCAGTGTGTGTATGTGTGTGTGGGGAACTGTGTTGGTGTGGGGCCTCTTCAGCCTTTTATTTCCTCTTACAATTTTGGTTTTCCTATTGGCCAGGATCGGGATTTTCCAACAGAAACGGTTAAGTTTGGTCCTGAGCGCATGTACATCGACTGCTGGGTCAAGAAGCACACCTACGACACGTTCAAGGAGGTCCTGGGCTCCGGCCTGCAGTACCACCTGCAGGTGAGCGGCGGCTTCTGCTTGCCCTTCAGTTGGGGGAGCTTGGGAGGTGGCTGCTAATGGCTGTGCGGTTAGTGAGTGTGCGGAATGCTCTCGGCATGTGCAGACGTGACACAGAGCGGGACACGGAGGGTGACATGCCAGGGCAGGGAACGTGTCCCGTGGCTCCGTCTGTGTCCCCAGAGAGCACCGGGATCTTTGTGGAAACGGGGGGCGTAGCTCCAGGTTCAAGGCCTTGGGAACAGGGTCTCCGAGTGAGAGGGCCGTCGTGACCCAGCGCACAGCTACCCCTCACACACCTGCCCCGCCAGACCCACTTTCTGCAGCAGAACAGCCGGCTAATCCGAGCCTCGCACCTTTTCCTTTTCCAAAGGCGAACGAATTCCTTCGCCACGTGTTTGAACTGGGGCCCCCGGTGATGCTCGATGCTGCAACACTGAAAACGATGAAGATCTCCCGCTTCGAAAGGGTACGTGTTGTTCTCCGCTCGCGGCCTCAGAGCTGCCCCGCACGGCGCTGTGGGCTGTTCTGCAGGGGCGGGTCTGGCGGGACCTGGGCGGTTCTCCCTGGCGCAGACCAGGCTCCGGGAGCGGACCTGAACCGCGTGGAGAGTGCGCGGCTCAGACGCAGACTTCTCGCCCGTATCCAGTTATCCTAGCATAGGCGTTATTTTCATTTTGTTTACTTTTCTGTGAAGTTTTTTAATTAAAGGGTAAATATTAACACAGTGCTGCTTTGGTGCCAGATCACTGAGCAAGTACCAGGCTCATTTTACGATGAGGGAGCTAAAGAGCCCGTGAGCTAGCAATTCATTCCTCCTGCTAGCAGATGAGAATTCCCGAGTTACAGTCTTCCTTTTTCCCTGCGGTAAATTCCCGTTACGTAACGGACTCTCGGAAAGTGGGTAATCCAGTGGCATTTGGTGTATTCAGTGTTGCCCAGCCACACCCCTGCCCAGTCCCAGAACATTTCATCTCCTCAAAGGAGAACCATGGAGCCTGCACACCCCCCCCCAGTGCTGGAGTGCTCCATGGCATCCTGCCGGCTCTCCTCACAGCAGCCCGCTGCCCAGGTTCATCACGGGTGTGGCAGGGCCCCTGCCTCAGCCCTCCGTTCCCATGTGCGACACGCGCGTCCTGCAGCAGCTGATGGACAGGGGGCTGTGCCCACTTGTCCCCGTGTCCCTGTGTAGCTGCTGTGGACGTTGTGTAGGTTTGTCAGAGCACCTGTTCTCGGTGCACTCAAGTCAATGCTTAGGCGTGGGAGTGCTGGGCCATATGGTAATTCTATGTTTAACTTTTTAAGTAATGGCCCTGCTTTTCTATAGCAGCTGCCCCTTTTGCATTCTCACGGCAATCTATGAGGTCTATCCCTGCACCCTGGCCAGCACTGTGATTCTCTCTTTTTTTAAATAATGTAACCTTTGGTGACATTTTTTAATACTTTTTTAAAATATATTTTTATTGATTTCAGAGAGGAAGGGAGAGGGAGAGAGAGAGAGAGAAACATCAAAGATGAGAGCCAGTCTTTGACCGGCTGCCTCCTGCACACCCCACACTGGGGATCGAGCCTGCAGCCCAAACTTGTGTCCATGACCACCTGGTTCATAGGTTGACGCTCAAACACTGAGCCCCAGCAGCCATGCACGCATGTGCGCGCGCGCTCTCTCTCTCTCTCCCTCTCTCTCGTAAGCTATCCTACTCCCACTCCCTTTTTCTCTGAAATCAATGAAAATATATAAATAACTAAGCCATCCTAATAGGTGTGACATGCTTAATTATATATTTTTTTAGAATTTTTTTTTAAATATATTTTATTGATTTTTTACAGAGAGGAAGGGAGAGGGATAGAGAGTTAGAAACGTTGATGAGCGAGAAACATCCATCAGCTGTCTCCTGCACACCCCCCACTGGGGATGTGCCCGCAACCAAGGTACATGCCCTTGACTGGAATCGAACCCGGGACCCTTCGGTCCACAGGCTGACGCTCTATCCATTGAGCCAAACCAGTCAGGGCTTTTTTTAGAATTTTAAATCATTTTTTATGACCACATCATTGGTGGTTGGGTTTTTAATAAATACTAATATTTTCACATACTTTTTCCTTTTGCATTATTTTTGGAGCAAGTCCTTGTGTGGGAGCCCAGGGCTGGGGCATGGCTCTGACCCCATTGCCAGTTACCCTCCAGTTACTCGTCCAGCGGGCAGAGCACGGAGCTGCCACACACTCCACAGCAGGGGTTCATGGTGTAAAGAACTTGTCAGTCTGCTTGGTACTAAAATGGAGCTTCGTCACATGTTTTGTGATTGACGGCATGGTTGGAATTTTTTTCCACATTCAGGATTCGACTTTTCCTTGATCAGATTCAGTGTTGGTGCACTTTTTTTCCTAAAATTTCTTACTCTTTTCACTGGAATTTTCTTAATACAGAGAGCCACTATTGTATGTGTTGATTTCCCCTTGTTCGTTTTGTATGTGTGTGTTTTATAAACATAAAGTATTTATAGGGTCAAATTAGTTCATTTCTCATATTTTTTAATGTTTTGTAAGCCCTTCTAAGCCTGTGGGTCACACGTGTTTTCCTGTCTCCATTCCAGCATTTATATAATTCCGCAGCCTTCAAAGCCCGAACAAAAGCTCGGAGCAAATGTCGCGACAAGAGAGCAGATGTGGGCGAGTTCTTCTAGATTCACGCGAGAAGACCACTTCCTGGTCCCCAGTTCCTTCTTTTGTAATTTCTCATGTATTTAAACTCTGTAGACAGTTTTTATCGCGGGTCAACCTGGATAGCTTTTGTAGCACGGGTTCGGTTACTTATAATTTAATGTGTAGATTGCAGCTGTGAGTTCTGATTACGGACTTTTCTCTGTAAATATCAGTAAACCATGAAGAAGGTGTTTGTGATGTTTGGTCATTTTTGTCTATTTATGAGGAAGCAAAAATAGGGTATTTCATAAGAAAACTATTAGCCAAGATGAACTCTACCTACTGCGGTGTGTCAGACATTGATTTAATGATACCGATATTACAAGGCATTTCAGATCTTAGGCAAATGAGTTCTGGAGACAATTTTGGCAGCTAGTTTTTTCTGGAAAAGCTGCTGTGTTTTTAACTGTAAGTGGAAGCTGATGCTTTTACCTGATCCCTGGGACCCACGAAGGGAAGGCGGCCCAGCTGTGGGGCCAGCACCGTGACCGTGACACTAACCGCCTGTTGTGAGGCTCCGCGCTCTCCATCCCCAAATAAAGATCTTTTCACACGAACATGCTTCTTTTCTATTCGAGGAAACATTGTTTATGGGCCTGAGGTGCATGCAGAGTGCAAAGTGACGAGGCTGTGGGGGAGGGAGGGAGGAGGGAGACGTGAAGATCGCACGGATTCGGCGGCTGGCTGCGTGGCTGCGGGGCGTTCTTCGCGTCGGGAGTGAGCGTGCTGTGTGCACTGGGCTGTACGTGAAACTACCGAGTGACCTTGCACAGTGGCATCTGCACTTGGATCCGCAGGTGCCGAACACGAGTCAGTCTCTTGTTTGAACTCAGTTCTCCCGATGTCTGACCAGTCACAGCCTGTGAAGCTCACCCTCTCCCCTGGTGGGGCCCCAACTAGGGCTGAGGAACTGCTTGGTCTCCATCTCCTCCCGAGGCGGGGTAATGCCTCCAGGGTGGGTGTCAGGTCCCGAGGCGGGGTGTCAGGTCCCCAGGCGGGGTAATGCTTCCAGGGTGGGGTGTCAGGTCCCCAGGCGGGGTAATGCCTCTGGTGGGGGGCGGGGTGTCAGGTCCCCAGGCGGGGTAATGCCTCCCAGGGCGGGGTGTCAGGTCCCCAGGCGGGGTAATGCCTCTGGTGGGGGGCGGGGTGTCAGGTCCTGGAGCGAGCAAACAGCCAGTGCTCCACAGACCCTCCATCATCTCCTCGAAGGACAGGGCTTGAGGCAGAGCAGGTTGCTAGGAGATTGGTGTTGAAACAGCACGATAGTTAAGCATTTTCACTTGTTAAGAAATTGGACATCACTTTTTCATATAAAGTATGCTTTTTAATTGATCCTAGGTATAGATGACACTTAAGGAAATGCCATGTCGCCCTGGCCGGTGTGGCTCAGTGGCTAGAGCATTGGCCTTCCGACAAGGGACCCAGGTTTGATTCCAGTCAAGGGCACATGCCCAGGTTGCAGGCTCGATCCCAGTAGGGGGCGTGCAGGAGGCAGCCAATCAATGATTCTTATTGAAGTTTCTCTCCCTCTTCCTCTCTGAAATCAATAAAAATATTTTTTTTAAAAAAGAAAACGCCATTCCTTTACCCCGAAGGTAGAGGGGGGTCCAAACTGAATGTAGATGCACCAGAAATTTTGTGACACAAACTTTCCTGATGTGTGTTCCAGGGACGTCCTGTGTCTGCGCCCAGCAATGGGAGGTGGGACTCTAAAGTCTGTGTATCCTGTTACCTCCCAGCCCTTAGCGGCCCCTGCTGGGCAGGTAGGCTTTGGGCTTGCTGATCTCTCACTGCGGCTCCTCCCGTGTCCAGCAGGGGGCAGAGCTGCTTGACGTGTGTGTGTGTGTGTGTGTGTGTGTGTGTGTGTGTGTGTGTGTGTGTGAGAGAGAGAGAGAGAGAGAGAGAGAGAGAGAGAGAGAGAGAGAGAGGGAGGGAGGGAGGGAGCTCAGAGCTCAGCCTTTGCAAAGGATGGTGGTGAGACAAGTGCTTCCACTGCCTGCCCTGGTGGGTGTGCGGCCACACACTCCTCCCCTCGCCGCCTGCCGCCGCCGCCGTAGCTCCCAGCAGCGCCCGCAGTCCTCCTGCCACCACTAGTTCCAATGTCACCTTGGCCTGCCCCCTGCACTGCTGGGCAGAGGCCTGTGCGAGCCGGCCGTGGCGGCAGCCTGCTCAGCTCGGATGTTTGTCTCGGGGAGCGCGCCGGCCGCCCTGCTGGAGACGGGCCGGCCCCCAGGGTCACAGCGGCCAAATAAGGACATCAACTTCAGTAAGAGCCTCAGTGCGCCCGCCCGTGCTGCTCTCTCTCCAGCTTGGGTTCGGTGGCTCAGTTACTAACCCTGGGGCACCGGAGGGAGTCGGCCTGGAGCCGCCTGCGGCTCCCGTCACCACCCAATGCCGGCAGCCCTCCGGCGGGTGTGCGGCCTGGCAGGGCCCGCGCGGGGAGGCCGCGGGAGGACTCGCATTTCCAGACAGATTCCTTGTCGCCTCTGAGTAGCTGGGACTTGCTTTCCTGCTGACCTAGCAGTGAGAGCTGTGTTTGTGAGTAATGTGCGCGCGATGTCACTACCGAGAGGGAAGGGGACTTCGTGCTGGGTGCCTGTGGCTGCGTGTGCTCTGTGCTTCCAGCTTCGGAGAGAAAGGACCGAGGCAGAATGTGACCGGGCAGAGGCTCTGAAACGGATCCACAGGAGGAGTCAGCGACTCCCTCCCTGAGCTCCCTGTTGGCTCCGCATCCGCCGTCGCAGCCATTCCGACATCGGGCAACAGCGCGAGCGAGTTACTTGCGGGCTTTGATGCCAAGGGCCTGTGGGGAAATACAGACGACAGCAAACCCGTTTTTCCTCGACAACTAGCTTTGCCACAGTCTTCCTTTGTGGGCAGTCAGAGCATTCCCCCGTGACAGACTCAACTGTCAGCTGTTAGCGTGACCTAAAGCGGAGGGAACCACTTACAGGTGTCAGCTGGAGGACTGGAGGGGGTTCCGTGAAGAGGAGCTGCTCTGGTCAGTCATTTACTTACAAACAAGCTTGCCCCGGGAGGAGGGAAGAGGGCCCGCTGGGGATGCAGAATTTAGTGGCTGCTTCCCCTGCCCTCCGGTCCTTCCCAGATGCACTGGTGTGGAGAAGCAAAGCGAGCAGGAGCCGGATCGGGCAGCTGCGGGCCGTGTTAGGGCACATGACTGTGTCTGTGTATTGGCTGAGTCCCACCCAGGATCTTGGCGGCCGCACGCACGCCCAACACAGCTTTCTCTGCTGATTCTTTTTTTTTTTTACTCAATGTTTTATTTTTAAATTTTTTTTCTTGTTTAAAGTATTACAAATAGTAGTACATATGTCTCCTTTTTTTCCCCAGTTGACCTTCCCCTGGCCTCCCCTACCCACCAGCGCATTCCCTTACCCCACCCGACCCCCAGTGTCTTGTGTCCATTGGTTATGCTTATATGCATGTAAGTCCTTTGACTGATCTCTTACCCCACCCCCACACTCCCCAGCCTTCCCGCTGTAAGTTGACAGTCCATCCACGCTTCTCTACCTCTGTAGCTATCTTTTTGTTCATCAGGTTATAATAGTCTTTATTATCCATAAATGAGTGAGATCATGTGGTGTTTCTCTTTCACTGCCTGGCTTATTTCACTTAGCATCATGCTCTCCAGTTCCATCCATGCTGCTGCATCTCTGCTGATTCTGGATTTGCCATTCGCTTGCTGCAGTTCATGTAGAAATGCCTCGAGACAGCGTCTTTCCACACGCGACCCTTCCCCTCGGAGCACCTTAGGGCTCGCTCTGCGCCATGTCCCCGCGCTGTGGGGTTTGGTGTGGCTCTGAGTCACCCTTTGAGTCTGTAGCCAGGCCAGGAATGTGGAGATTTTACGAGCTGTTCTGGTCTTCAGGCGGTTTTTGTGGTCACGGTTTTCTGGCTGGTCCTCTGCTTTGCAAACGCCGATGAAGCCGTCTGAGATGTAAGCACAGTAATTACATCCCTGGAGGGGGAGCTCGGGGTCCAGGATATGAAGTCAGATCCCAAGCGAAGCAAATGCCTCTCCCTGAGTCACACGCCTGAAATAGGAGCCGAGTGTGGAGTGATGACCCTCGATGTGACTCACACAAACGCTACTCCTCGCCAAGCACCAGCCTTGGGGATAATGAAGTATAAAGAGGCAATACAGTCTAAAACATTCCTGGAGGCATCGTTTAGAGACCTGTGGCCATGACGTCAGTCAGGGCTGGGTTTCCTCTGTACAAGGGTAACAGTGGGCGGCTCTGAGGCCCCTTTGCTCTATATGATGCTACTTTCACTTTTGTACGGAGCAGAGGTATTTTAAATATGTTTTTATTGGTTTTCAGAGAGAAGAAGGGAGAGGGAGAGAGAGATAAAAACACCAATAATGGGAGAGACTCATCGATGGGCTGCCTCCTGCACGCCCCTACTGGGAATTGAGCCCGCAACTCGAGTACGTGCCCTGACCAGGACTGAACCGTGACCTCCTGGTTCATAGGTCAACCTCAACCACTCAGCCACACCAGCCGGGTGCCTTCTTTTCACATAATTAATTCAAAGGCCACAAGGCCTCTGTCTACCAGAGAGAATCCTAAAATAGAACTTTAGTCGGTTCGGTGCTGCGTGAAGTCGTGCTGTCTTCAGGGAATATTACCTGTGGCGTGTCCCTCCACCTGAAAAGGCCTCGTGATGTCCGTGGCCTCCGTCTGAGGAAGCTCAGGGGACCTCAGAGGTCCTGGGTCGCTTCCCACGCCACAGGGTTCCTCTCTGAGGTCTCGGCTTCTCAGGTTTGTCCCGGGGACCACCGCCACCTCCAGTGGCTGCAGAGCAGTCACAGCAGCCAGGATCCGGGAGCAGCCAGGACCCGGGAGCAGCCAGGATCCGGGAGCAGCCAGGATCCCGGAGCAGCCAGGATCCGGGAGCAGCCAGGACCCGGGAGCAGCCAGGACCCGGGAGCAGCCAGGACCCGGGAGCAGCCAGGATCCGGGAGCAGCCAGGACCCGGGAGCAGCCCCAGTGCCCGTCCGCAGATGAAAACGCTGCGGGACATTCACACCGTGAAGCAGCACTCAGCTGCAAAGGAAAGGAAGTCTCACCCTTTGCGACAGCACGAGGGACCTGGAGAGCATTATGCCGAGTGAAATAATAAGCCAGTCAGAGAAAGACAAGTACCACGTGATCTCACTCATAGGTGGAAGCTAATGAACAAAATGAACCAACAAGCCAAACAGAGACAGACTCACAGAGAGAGAGCAGGCTGACAGCTGCAGAACCGGGGGGTGGGGGGTGGGGGGCGGGGTGGTAAGCGGGGGGGGGGGGGGGGAGGGATTGAACAGAAAAGGAAAGGAAAAAACTCACGGACATGGACAACAGTGTGGTGACTGCCGGGGGGGGGGGGGGCGGGGGGGGAGGTGGAGGAAGGTATAGGGAGGTAAGTGGTGATGGAGGGAGACTTGACTTGGGGTGGCGAACACACAAGCCAGTGCACAGGTGACGTGCTGTGGAATTGAGCACCTGACCCTGTATAATTGTGTTAGCCGGTGTCACCCCAATACATTCAATAAGAAGGAAAAAAGCAGCACATTTTAGGTGGAGACTCAGATGCTGTCCTGAGGGAGAACATGAACATGACGCCCGTGTGGAAACCTCTGTGATTGGAAAGGTTTACGGTCCTTTTCTCCTCTTCGGATGGGCTGCCTTTGCTCTTCCCCGATGTTTAGACATAATCTTGTACACAAAGGATTTGAGTCATCTCACCAGAATGTGAACAGTGTGATGAAAGGGAAATATTTTATAATCAACTGGAGGCCCAGTGCATGGAGTGATGATCCTCGAACAAAGGGGCCTCAGAGCCATCAACTGTTACCCTTGCACTTCCTGCAGCCTCTCACAATCCGGGACCCCTTGGGGGATGTCGGCTGGCCAGTTTCGCCCGATCCCCGCAGGCTAGGCCAAGGGACCCCTACTGGGCCTCTAGTATGCATATAAGATCTTTGGTTAATCTCTTCCCATCCTCCCCCCTTCCTCCTTCCCTCTGAGATTCACTCATCTGTCCCATGTTTCCATGCCTGTGCATTGAGCGTCTGCCCCCTGGTGGTCAGTGCACATCCTAGTAGGTCGAATGGTTGAATGGTCAAACGGTCCCTTAGGCTTATATATATATAGATTACAAGATAAAAGGGTGGGGCAGGAAAAATGCAGGCAGGATGGGGAAATCGGAGGAGGAGGAGAGGGCGTGCAGATACGCAGGGTGTAGGAGGCGCCCGCTGCACACCAGCCTCCCAGCCTGGTGGGCAAAGGACAGTACAAAGGTGTCCCCACAGGAAACATTTTCCCTGAACAAGCACGGCTTCCCCGGACCTGCCGCTGGAAATGCTATGTGTGTGTATGTGTGTGTGTGGGGGGGGGGGTGTGGGGAGGGCGGGTTCTGCCGGCTTGTCTGCTGCCCGCGGGCTGCCACTCTCCAGCCACGCGCTAGGCCAGCCTCCAGCTCGCGGCTGACGCGGTGCTTTCTTCCAGGGACCATGCACCGCTCCCCCCGGGACTCGGGCTCCCGCGGCATCCCCGTCCCTGAGGACAGGAAGCTGTACGTCGTGGACTCCATCAACGACCTGCACAGACTCAACTTCTGCCCCTCGGGGTCCCAGCACCTGCTCTGTACGTGTGCCCTCTGGCCCGAGGGCTCCCAGCTCCGCGGCCCCTGAGAACAGCAGCTGCTCACCTGGGCTGGGGGGATGGGAGGGGGGGGCTGTAGGGCCTCAAACGCTTGCTTCAGAGATGCCCTGACTACTGGGCCACACTTGCTTTTGCCCTGAAAGCCCGCGGCGGGCGATGGGCTTTCGTGGCTTCTGAGTGAGAGCTCTTATCTGAGAAGCCCCTGCTGGGGCGCCCCCTTCCCCAGACACGTCTCCCTTCATGGTGAACGGCTGAGAAAATGTCCCACACGTCCATCTAGTTTTTAAAAACAGTAAAACTTTGTTGGGCAAAAAGCTCAACGTCATTTTCTCCTGACAAATGACAAATGGCCCCAATTAAAGGGCTAGAATGAAAGGCGGGGGAGAGAAAGCAAAGCAAAGCAACCTGCCGACCACTGAGGGCGTGCCTCGTCCCCGTGCATCGTAAGTGCCCCTGCAGGTCGCGCCGGGCCTCACCTGGTCCCGCGTACCTGCCGGCCCCGGCACAGGCCTTGCTGCCGCGTGGCGTCTGTCTCCTGTGGACTCTGAGCTCTTCCCGCGCCCATTTACAGCTGCTCTAGGCTCCTTCCAGATCTCGCTTTTCTGTTGTAAAGCATTCAGAGTTTTCACCTGTTCGGACCGCAGCCAGTCCCGGGGAAAGGTGCTGCTGCTTTGATTAGAAAGCAAGGCTGTCGGGGTGGCCGAGGAGGGACGGACGGAAGCCAACCCGTCTCTGCCTAATTGGCTCAAGTGGTGACAGCAGCCGGGCCCAGTGACTGTCCGGCTACACCTCGGGGAGTGATTAGGTCCCGGGTAGTGGGATGCCCATCCCGCTGGCCGGCCGTGTGTGTGTGTGTGTGTGTGTGTGTGTGTGTGTGTGTGTGTGGGGGTGGTGGGTGCGGGGGAGGAGGGCGGGGGCGGGAGGGGCCTCTGTGACGGTGCTGTTCTGTGTTAGCGCCGGAGGAGAAAACCCTGGAGGCCGGCACTCGCTCGGGCGATGGGCGCTCCCGCCTGCTCTTCCTGGGGCTGGTCCTCGCGCTGATGGTCAGCCTGGTGCTGGTCGCCTTGGTGACCTTCCTCATCAGTAAGTACCCCCCCCCCCCCACTTCGCTGCTGGGGCGCGCGCACTCGCACTTGCGTCGTCGCTGGTGGTTTGATTTGCTCGGCGAAGGCGCAGAGCGAGCCCGGGGCGGAGGTTCACCAGCAGTGAGTCAAACATTTCTTTAGCCTCAGATCCCCCCGGAGGCCCTGCTGGCAGGCGGTCGGCAGTTCTAGTTCATTCTAGGTTTTCCAGCCCAGCGCATAGACTTGTCCATGCACTCGGGTCTTAGCGCAGAGTCACAGGCAGCTTCTGACCCCTTCTTGTGGGTGACTCTTCCGGAAGGTGACCCCAACATAAACGGATGCTTCCGCTCCGATCCCGCCACACCCCCCGGGGCTGGCGACTAGTTCAGCTCCAGGGACTGTTCGGTGTGCCTACAGGACGGGCCTGGGGCAGCCCGAGGGCTTCTCCCTTCTGTGGGATGAGAGGCAGTGGATGAAGGATAAAGCCCCTAAGATGCCGCTGTACGCTGGGGGCTCACTCCGTCCCAGGCAGCGTCCTAGCACCTGATGTCTGTGTGCTCCATGCGGAAACTCGGGCTTCGAGAGGGGAGTTGATGTGCCCAAGGCCACATAGCTAACAAGTGCTGGATGGGACCCAAAGGCCTCAGGGACTGCACACCTTAGTGCCGTTATTATGTGCCTCTTGTATGAAGAGGGTTTGTTTTATATTTGCTTCTAGTGTTTTCTCTTGGGGGTAAAGTCATATTAAGAAACAGAAAGAAGACTCGAGAACGAAGTGTCTTTATTGGACCACGACTCTGTCCAGACACCGAGTTCAGTAACTGAAGCCTTGCTCTGCCCCTGGAGGCGGTGCCTGGCACTTCACTTTCACTGATGAGAGACCCTGGTCCAGAGAGCTCAGCTGCCCATGTTCTCCCAGCAGCACTGGGATTCCAACCCGGGCCTGTGGCTCCGGACACACTCCACACTCAAGGTCGCACAGGCTGGCCCCAAGGTCATGCAGGCTGGCCCCAAGGGTTGTACAAATAAGTCACCCGGTGGGTAACATCAGTCCTCGGCTGTCCTCTCCCAGCCTCTAGGTTGCGTGGGCTGTTGGAGCAGGGCGTTTGCATAGAGCAGTGATGGCGAACCTTTTGAGCTCGGCGTGTCAGCATTTTGAAAAACCCTACCTTAACTCTGGTGCTGTGTCACATATAGAAATTTTTTTATATTTGCAACCATAGTAAAACAAAGACTTATATTTTTGACATTTATTTTATATATTTAAATGCCATTTAATAAAAGAAAAATCAACCAAAAAAATGAGTTCGCGTGTCACCTCTGACACGCGTGTCATAGGTTCGCCATCACTGGCCTAGAGGGTTGATCAGTGCTCAGCCGAGCACCAACGCGGGCCCTGACTCCCACGTAACATTCTGTTTTCCATCTTGAAGTTCAGACCGGAAGCAAGATGGACAACGTGTCGAGAAGACTGGCGGCTGAGGGGAGGGACATAGACGAGCTCAAGAAACTCAACAGCATGATCGTCAAGCGACTCAACCAACTGGAGTCGGCACAGAACTAGAGATGATCTTCCCAGCGCAGCTGCCAAACCCGAGTTTCTGCTCGGCGGGGCCTGTGCGGGGCCAGAGGCCGAGCCCAGCGTCCCTGCCGGCAGCCCACTCCCCGGGCAGAGAGCCGGCCCTGGGCCAGCCCTGCCGCCGGGATGGGAACCACCGCAGGGCAAGGGGCCTGGGACTAGCGGCCACAGGGACTCATTTCACGGCCCAGTCCTTCCGCTTTAAAGGGGCGAGGGGGTGGCTGGCATGAGGACAACCCTGTGCCGATTCTCTTACCAAGGTGCTTTGTCACCAGAGCAAGGTCACGGTCCCAGGAAGGTCCCGCTGCCTCCCACCTCTTTGTAAGCTCCCATGATGAGTGAGGGCATTCCCGTTCCAGGGAACTGGGTGATGACAGATCATCTTCTTAATAAAAGAGATTCTGCTCAGGGGATGGAACCTGGACTCTTATTTCCCCCGATGACCGGGGATGGGGATGGGCGGGTGGCCGAGCTGGCTGCTTCCTGGCGTTTGCTAGTAGCCACGTGGGCTGGTGGGGCGGGGTCAAAAGAGAGAGCCCAGTGTATTCAGCCAATGTTTGCTGAGCTCTGCCAACTTTGTTCTCATGTCTATTTTGTCTGGCATAAGCATCGCTACCCCAGCTTTTGGTTTGTTTTCATTTTTATGAAACCTCTTTGTCCGCCCCTTGCCTTTCAGTCTGTACGCGTCTGTACGCGTCTGAAGTCAGTCTCTTGTGGACAGCGTAGGTAAGGGCCTTGTTACCTATTCAGCTACTGTGTGTCCTTGGATGGGAGCACTTAATCCATTCAGTTCCTCCCCAACGGCCCTGGTGCTGTCCAGCCGCTGCCCCAGTGCTGGAGCTCCGAGGGAGTGAATCTGAGTAGGTCTGTGCCTGGGCCCTTTAAGAGGAACTACCTGGGACTCCAGCAGCCTCCGTGTCACTCAGCCACATCCTTGCTGGTTTTTTACAGCCAGAATTTATGGGGAATTTTCTTCCTGGCACTGGGACCCTGGGCTGGGGGGCCTGGGGTGGGGGGACACCTCCACAGCCAAGATATCCTCCTGATTTTTTTTAAACTATATTTTTACTGATTACAGAGAGGGGGAGAGAGAGAGAAACATCAATGAGAGAATCATTGATTGGCTGCCTCCTGCATGCCCCACACTGGGGATCAAGCCCGCAACCCGGGCATGTGCCATGACCAGGAATCGAACCGTGACCTCCTGGTCAATAGGTCAATGCTCAACCACTGAGCCACGCCGGCTGGGCTCTCGATTTTTATCTGCCTCACGTGGGTGTGGGACCAGCCCTTTCAGCGTCTCGGCCCCTCCTACCAGTCTCCATGTGGCTTCTTCTTTAAATCCCTATTCAGCTAGAATCCAGGTGGTTCTGAATGAGGGTGGTTCTGTGTCCAGCTGTCATTCTGACCTGGTTGTGGGAAGATCTGAGTCCTGCATTTCCCAACACCCACGGCTTGACCACAAGCTCTCTCCTGCTCCCTTTAAATTCTGAAACATGACTTACAACTCAAGCATGAATCCTCAGGGAAATGGATGGTGACCAGCTCATCCTCTCAGGATTCTCTTCCTGAACGAGGAGACCTCCTGCCACGGACCACTTACCGTCTCACGAACAAATGCAGCAGGCGGACAATTGGAAAACGGTTAGTACTTTAACTATGGCTTCTCACATGCTAAAAACGACGAATTTCCTACACCCTAAGTGACTGCAAATATTGCCACAAACAGACTAAATGAGAATTCTGTTCTGCATCTCCCCGGCCCCCAGCCTAGCAAACTTCGTTAAGATTGATGAGTTGGCATCCACTTCTGAACTGCTGTACGGTCACTGAGGGGCGCTCAGACTCGCTTTCTTATAGACTCGGAAGAAACAGTAATGGGACAGAGACGAGGCCCCTGGGAGGGGAAATCTAGGACCTGTTTTCAAACTTTCATTCGGTACAGCCCATAGGAAGCCCAGGTGCTTTCCATATGACTTGCAGACGCCACAGGGGAACCTTTCACAATCACTTCCCTGCTCAGCTTGGGCCTAAAGCTTCACTGGAGTCCCCTGAGCTTGCCTTACTGTGGCATCCTCGTGTGGTGCACGCTGTGTGACGCGCTCCTCCGGGCACCCTCGGGGCTAGTTCGCGGCTGTGTGTGTGAGTGAAGTGAGCGGAGGCGGTTCCCGGCGGCCTCACTGCTCCGATTTGCAGTGAGAGCTGCTCACTAACAGGGGAGACACCTGGTGCCCAAGGTGCTTTCAGGGGAAGGAGGTCAGTTCAGAAGGAGCCAGAGGCAGGAGCGCACATGCCGCGTGTGATGCCGGAGGGAGCGGAAACGGTTGCTCAGACCTAGGACAGCTGGGCGACCCCTGGGGCAAGTGGCTACCAGGCTGGAAGGTCACCCAGGAGATGGTGGAGACCATAGGGACAGAGGGCTGGCCCGGGCAGTCGGGCCACCTGCCGTCTGCTCACCCAGGTGCCTTCCCTCCCCTGATCCTCCCCAGCTCCTACTCTCCGGGCCACCAAGTTGGGCCCCTAACCAGGCCTTCCTCCTCCTCCTCCTCCTCCTCCTCCTCCTCCTCCTCCTCCTCCTCCTCCTCCTCCTTCTTCTAATATATTTTTATTGATTTCAGAGCAGAAGGGAGAGGGAGAGAGAGATAGAAACATCAGTGATGAGATTCATGGATCAGCTGCCTCCTGCACGCCCCCGGCTGGGGATCAAGCCCACAACCCGGGCACGTGCCCTTGACTGGGATCGAAGCTGGGACCCTTCAGTCCACAGGCTGAGGTTCTATCCACTGAGCCAAACCACTAGGACAGGAATTGTTAAACGCTGAGTGGACTTTTACCTGCTGCCCTTGCTACTGTTCCGATCCAGGGCGTTCTGAACTGGATGCTCTGAAGCCAAAGGGAACCGCCTCGCAGAGGCTTCCCCAGGGAATGCAGCCCACACAGGACCGGCGGCTGTGCAGCCTCCATCATGGTCCAGGCACAACTCTCCAGCTGGGGATCTAGAAAAACTGGCCAGAGTGGCCCAACAGCTGGCTTCAGAAAAAGAAACACCAGTTAGGTTGGGACTGTCACAATCGCTGGTTGGATAAAAGGGAACGCTCTGGTCCAGCCAAACACGGCCATGCGGCTCCCAGGCCTGCTCACGCTGAGGTGCAATCCTTCCTTTCGCCCCCATACATCCTCTTGGACTTCCCAGTGGACTTCCCAGTGGACAGCACCCGTGTCACTACACCTGTTACCTAGTGAGCACCTGTCGCACTTGTGTTTGAATCCATTCACCAGGGAACCTGATGGTGACAGAGGAGTCACACGGGAATTCAGGCCACTGCCCTGCACACACAGCCAGTGGAAAGGGAGGGGCCGGAGGGAACTCTTGGGGTGAAATTGATAAATTAGGTAGAAAGCTGGTTAAGGTTCCGTCCCCAGCCGAGGGTATTTGCATTTCACAGGAGACCAGTCACCTCACCAGTGGGGGGTTAAGGCATTTGCATCTCTATTGACAACAAGGCTTGCGGCTTAGTTTCCAGCACAGTTAACTTTTGCCCTTAAAAGGCAGTGAGATGCCCCATTGGTAAACAGTCCCAGTTACTGGAGCCCAAAGACTTGGGGGCTTCTCTGCTGGCCCCGACCGGAGGGCAGGCCTCGCGCACCTCTGCTTGGCCTGCAGGTCTGGGTCCGGCAGGGAGAGTCCCTGATGCCTGTTGCATGGTCACCAGGTGAGTTCTTGCATCGGAGGTTCGAAGGTGTTTGGGACTGGCCTTCCGTGACGTCCGTCTCCATGACCCCATGCCCTCCACTCTGGTCATGGGCGGTCCGTGTCCTCCGTGCCCTGTACCATCCCACCCCGGGGGTCTGCACTCAGCACCCTGAACCATGGCTTCTCCGCTCCCTACACGGCTCTCCAGCTCAGGCTGCGGTACAAGTTCCATAAATGCTCGTTGAGTAACCGCAGGGAAGAGACGGGAACCGAGCCACGGTGTGAAACCCATAGGGTGGGGGCCGGGGGGGGGGCGCGGAGGGACGGCTCAGCGGAGGGGAGGACCCGCACACGCAGCCGCGGGAGGTGGACTTCCACGTGGGGTCCGGGTGAGGGCCGGGCGGGCGGGGCGGCGTGAAGAGCCCTGACAAGCGAGAGGCCAGGCGCCGGGGCCTGCGGCTGGCAGGCGGCCTCCTGCGCCCTTGGGTTGTCCTTGCCGTCACGTGTGGGTTGGGTGCACGGCCCCTCGGTTCGCGGGGATCAGGGGAGGGAAGAACCGAGGCCCCGGGTGCGAGAAGGAGCGATGGCTTCGGGGACAGCCACCTCCCTCCGGAGCGAGCCACACCCCGCGGAGACGTTGCGCCTTTGAAAAGCCTCCCCGGGTCTATTTGGGGGAACAGGACGGCCCCCGGCGGAGGCGACCCCGGCCAGGCAGCTCCCCAGCCTCTCGCGGGGCCGGCCGCCCGTCCTGGGGTCCCCCCGCCGCCGAGCGCCCCGGGCGGGGCTCCAGGTGTCCGCGGGCGCGCGCCGGGCGCGTTCCGGCCGAGGGCGGGGCGCGGGGCGGAGCGCGGCGAGGGCGGCGGGTCCCGGCTCCTGCTGCCGCCGGCCAGGCCCAGCGGGGACGTGTCGCCGGGAGAGGACGGAGCCATGAGCCGCCTGCCCCCGAGCGCGGCGGCGCTGCTGCTGGCGCTGCTGGCGGAGGTAGGGCCGGGCGGCCGGGCGCGCGCCGGGGCGCGAACAATGCGGGGCGGCGAGCGGGCCGGCGCCCGGGGGACCCGCCGCGAGGGGCGAGCGGGGAGCGGCCGCGCCGCCCGGGTCCTGCGTGTGTCCGGCGCTGGGACGCGGAGGGACCCGAGGTCGGGGGGCTCCCCGCGGCGCCCGCTTCTGTCCCCACCCGGCCCGCCCCACCCCGGGGCCGGAGCGGCTGATTTCTCCGGCTGCCAGCGCCGCCCGGGACCGGGAGAGACCCTTCCGCGCAGCCCTGCCGGTCTCCTCCCCGCGGGGACGCGGATCCCGGGGTGGGGGGTGGGGGTGGGGGTGGGGGGCAGAATGAGGGGGCGGGGGCGGCGCAGGCGCAGAGGCGGGGCGGGTGGGCGCGGGGAGAGTTTGGAGACAAAGTCCCGGGAGCCAGCGAGGTAGCGGGGCGGCGGGAGCGAGCGCTCCTGCGGGCGCCGAGGCGCGGGGCTCCCGGGGCGCGGGCGGGAGGGTGCGGGCCGCCCGGAGGGAACGGGGAGGAGGGGGGAGTGGTGAGCGCCCGGGGACCGCCTCCCTCCCGGGGACCCGGCTGTCCCAGGCGGCGGCTCTGCGCTGGGTTGCCCCGCGCCGCCGGCGTTTCCGGGCGTGGGAACGGGCTCCGTCCGCTCCGTCCGCTCCGTCCGCTCCCGCACTTGGAAGGACGTTTGCACGCGGTTCCTGGGCCGCGGGAGGTGGTCGGCGGGACCGGA